AATTCCTTTCTTTATACAGCTGATTGAGGTCTGCCAGGGTAAGTTACCAGGAAACTTCATCAGGTGACGCTCTGTAGGTGGACCAGAGCAGTTTGCCAAAGGCTTTTCCTGGCTTGAACCAGGTTGAGACTCTAGTAATTCGAGCAGAGTGCCTGGAGTTTAGTCTTCTAAACCTGCAATCAATATGTTTTTTATTTTCTGAAGTAATTATAATTACCCTCAAAGCTCTCAAAGCCTTGCTGCTTAGACTCTTTGAATGAAGCATCATTTGAAAAGGTATAATAAAGAGATCATAAGTATCATGACAAAAGAATGAAAAACTAATTTTTTTTTTTTTTTATAGGATCTCGCTCTGTCACCCAGGCTGGAGTCTGTCATAGCTCACTGCAGCCTTAACCTTCTGGACTCTAGGGGTCCTCCCACTTAAGCCTCCTGAGTAGCTGGAACTACCGGCACATGCCACAGAGCGTGGGTAATTTTTGATATTTTGAACACACAGTATCTCCTTATGTAACTCAGGCTGGACTCAAACTTCTGGGTTTAAGCAATCCTTTTGTCTTAGTTTCCCAAATTGTTGGGATTGCAGGCATGAGCCAGTGTGCTTGGCCTGATTTTTTTTTTTTTTTTAATGAAGAGAAAAAAGTTCCTTAAGAAAAGTTTCATTGTAATAATCAGGATAAATGGCATACATTAGTTCCGGAAAACTTTGGAAGCCTTCTTACTTCGCTGAAAGTGGAATTTATCAACTCAGCTGCTGACAGCTTTCCTCCCATTTAGCCTTTGTGTGAAAAACACAATTAATACTTTCTTGAGTAGTACAAGCTGAGCTGAGAAACCATCTTTCAGAGGTGTAAATTCTTGATTTGGTTGAAAGGCTGGATGTATTAACTTTCATAATTTCTTTCGACACTTAATTTTCCTTAATTATGGTAAAGATGTATTATTTATTTTTTCTTTTTAGTTGGGAAAGTTGGTTCATGTAACTTTTGCATTTTGTAGAATTTCTAAGAGGTAAGATGAAAATTAAACATTTCTTCCTGTTAAGATCCATGTTTCTCTCTCAGATCCCCTAAGTACATGTAATTTGTTTGATGATTTTTGCAAAGACAAGCTAGAAATTAAGGAAATAATTCTAGATGTGTTCTTTATATTAAAAAAGTCTCCAATAAAAAATTTCTCTGTCCATATCACAGGTTAATTTACAATTTGGGCTGCTGGTGGCTGGCTTGTGGCCTCAATGTTAAAAATTAGAATGAGGCTAATTCTAGTGAATAGTGGTTCACACAGACAATTGCTATCTTTGTTGGGTCCTCTGGTACCAAGCCTAAGAAGAGGAAAAAAACTAAAAACACCCTGGCAATGTAACAGAATCATCTTTTACTGCCATCTTTCACTTCAGTATAAGCTGAGCATGTGTTTGATGCATAGGGGCGTGGGAACTATATCCTCTCTTCTTACTTTCCTTCAGTAAAGGAGCTTAACTCCATTAAGTATTGTTCAAGATAGCATATTTAAAATTAACATAAAAGGTAAAAGATTTTAATGCCTTTTAATATAAGGAAACATTGATTTTATTAAAATGCTTTAAGATACTATAATACAATTACTAATTTATTACTCTAACTCTGTATTGTGAGTATAGCTTCTTTTCCAAGTATATTGATTTTTTAAATGTGTTTTGGAAGTAGGAAAAGAACCAAAGCAGTTTATGAAAATTCTCATTCACCATCCTTCTTAAACAGAACCACGTCCATCATGCCGATGGAGACTATTTCAAGAGTAGAAATTCTTTTTATTCAAAGCAGTAGGATTATCCAATGTTTCTTAAACAATGAAAGGCAGGTTATATTTTTCCAACCTGTGTTTTCCTGAGCTGAAGCATGAAATATCAAATATCTATAATAAAGTATTCATAGTTAAGTACACTGAATCATTAAAATGTTGGAAATACTGAAATGGATGATCGACCTTATTGGAGTCCTTGTGTGATACAGAAACTTCTGTATTTACTGTTAACAAGAAAAACTGAAAAGGTTACAATCCTTTTTAGAGTCAGAGCTCAAATAGAATTGATTTAAAATTTAAAGCACTTCTTTTTTTTTTTTAAATTTATTTTATTGCATTTTAGGTTTTGGGGTACATGTGAAGAACATGCAAAATTGTTGCATAGGAACATAAAGCACTTCTAATAAGAAATTTTAACATTGTATAAGTTAAACATGGGGAAAAATTATATTTGTTTTATGTTATTCTATTAAGAAATTTCTTAGACTCTGAGGTATTTAGTAGGACTCAGAATAAATGTCTCTAAAGATTTAGTTTTAATTTTTGGCTGCTTAGCTCTTATAATGACACTTATTCTGAATACTATATTAACTGTGCAGTCATAATTATATGTATTTTTCCTAGCTTGTGATATGATGTATCTTGCATTTTGGCATATTACTCTTATTTTAGAGACAGGGTCTTGCTCTGTTGCCCAGGCTGGAATGCAGTGTTGTGATCATAGCTCACTGCAGTCCTGTACTCTTAGGCTCAAGTGATCCTCCTGCCTCAGCCTCTGAAGTAGCTAGGATTACAGGCACGTGGCACCATATCTGCCTAATTTATTTTTTAATTTTTTGTAGAGACAAGGACTTGCTGTGTTACCAGTTTGGTCTCGAACTCTTGGTTTCAAGTGATTCTCCTGCCTTGGGCTACCAAAGCGTTGGGATTGCAGATGTCAGCCACTGTGCCTGGCCTTGTTCTCATAAATTCAAGATTATCCAACTTCAAGCAAGGTACTGTATTTCAGAGCACCACTTAAATATAAAGCTGTTACATGTCAGGATAAGAACTGGGCTGATGTCAGTTATGCATCCTGCGCCCTTGCTATTTAATACCATGGAATAAGAAGGCAGGGTGAAAGTCTTTTTGCCACTATTGCCTGGCTTTTATGCAGCTACTCTTACATCTAATAATAGTGGAATGGAAGAGCAAGATGAATTGTAAAATGAATTCCATAGAAGATCCACTGTGGTTAGTAGACCAAGCCACGACAGTGTTGATATTAAGAATGGACACTGGAGTCCAGTATATGTCGATTCAAATCTAAATGCTCAGTAGATGTATGACTTGGGCAGTTATTTAACATACTTGGGTTTGAGTTTTCTTGTCTTCATCCATAAAGGGAGGGCTCTTAGAGGTTTAAGGGAATATATGTACACATATGTATAAATATTAAGAGAGATATATATAATATATAAACAATTAAGATATATATGTATTCCCTTTAGATATAGATATGAATATATGTATTCCCCTAAGACATATATGAATATATTTATTCCCCTAAGATATATACATATATATATGTATGTATATGTATATATTCACATGTATCTTAACTACACCCACACACACACACACACACACACACACACACACACTTTAGAGCAGTTCCTGATAGGTGGTGAGTGCTACTTAGATATTAACTCATCATATTGCCATCTCATTTCTGTATTTGCATTACTAATTAGTAACACAATTGAATGATCTGATGGTTTCTTCTTTTCCCTGCTTTTTCCTTAAAAGATCAAAGGTTGCAGCAAAATGTCATATTTAAGAAGCTGAGTAAACACAGAATGAGAGGCCCTAAAGCGAGGTGCTGAATTAATAGGCAGGCTTATCACTTCCTGAATATATACAAACTAGCACTTGGTAGAAATAGCAGAGAGACTGTTTAATGGGTTTTTGTTTCAGAGTGATGGATTGATTTTCCAGGGACGGGCCCGATGAGAGCCCTCATAACAATTGCCTCTCATACCCTATTGCAAATAAGTTTAATCTCATATAAATCAAAGCACTAGAACGTAAGCATCCCAAGGACAGAGATTCTGCCTGTGTTGGTTCACTGCTGTAACCACAGAGTTCAGGCAAGTGTCTGGCAAATAGTGGAGGCTCAGTAACTATCTTTCGAGTGAACTGAATGAATGATAAACCTTGACTTTTCCTTTAAATAGGATTAACATTAAAAGCAAAACCAAACAGCATGCTTTCCTACTTCCTGATGGATTTCTGACGCTGAGAATGCTGTTAGGCAAGTAAGCTGGGCTGAAGAGCAGCATGTGAAGGGCACAGTGCAAATGTGTACATTTTGCAAGTATTTCAGAAATCTCGGATTTGGTGAAGTATTCGCTGGAGTCTGTGGTGTGATGTCACACTTAACTCAGATTCATGTGTCACATTTGAATTACAAATATTCTGTCCAGCAGCTGCCTGACTATGCTTATACTTTTTTCTACACAGGGTTTTCAGAAATCTTTGATCCCTGTGACCAAGTGTCATAGAAAACTTTTCTTAAGTGAAACTTTCTGCAAACAGTTAGCTTATATTTAAGTTTCTATTCATCTTTAAGTAAAGTATTTTGGCTAAAAGAATGTTTCACACAATACATTTCACAGGTGAGGTTGATTATATAGCATTACTCTTAATTTAGCTTACAACCTCAATAGTGACTTAAAATATATAACACTTTTATAACTATGTCTAACTTAATCAAATTGAAATACATATTCTTTTCTACCCCTGTAGCAAACGTTTTTTGAAGACAGAAAAAGTCCCTTTTTACAGTATAGGCAAGCTGATAATCTGAATAGAAAACCACTCATTTCTATACATGAAATTTTCCTAATTGTCTTTGTAATAAAAACTGAGAGGATATTCGTCATCCCTGGCTGAGCTGCACTGAATTCTACTCTTTTATAAATGTAATAAAACAGCAAACAACATCAAAGTACATTATTAATTAGACATGATTTCTTAAAATGGTTTATGTCATCTCATTAAACTTCAGAGCTTGCAGACATTAATAGTAAGTCACCACAAAGCTGCCATTGATTTATAATGCACATTACCACATCAGGCCTGGCCCAAGGACTCTGGGCCCAGAAGGAAAAACAGCCATGGCATAAATATGCTGAAAACATATCTGTATTCACAGAAAACAATTAGGCTTAATATAATTAGAGTGAACATTCAGGTTCATTTTATTCAAAGGTAATGTTTCTGCCCTTGAAGTTCCATGTAGAAAAGGGTCCTTGGAGTTAGAACACTGTGGAAGGTGATATAATTTCACTTGGCCCTTGGCTATGTAAGGTAAACATTTTGCATTATTGCACAGTAACAAAAATTTACAGCCATAGATAACACAGGATCTGATCAACGTTAACACACCTGGTGTTTAAGGCTTACCCACATTGGAAAGCAATCATTTCCAGGATGGAGATCAAATATCTTAACACAGTGTCAGCTGTCTGAGTTGCTAGAAAATATCTCTCATTTAAAAATCTGTTCATAGGACGTGCTTTCACATTTTTCAGCCTCTTTCACTTGTGTGCTAGACGGAGGCACTTTAAGAGCTATTAACTGTAGTTTCAAGAGTACAAGACGTTAAGTTTCTTCAGTCATTGGTAAATACGGCAAGGAATTAAAATGAAATTAGATTAAAAAGAAAGTAAACAAATCATCGAATCAGAAAATTTAGCCAAATCTTGTAAAAATCACTGGTCTTTGATTTAAACATCTCCCCCTCCAGCCTCCCAAATTAGTAGCTATCACTCATCTATGGCCAGATAGGTAAAAACTACTAAACCATTCTGATGTTAAGGTATAACGGTTTTACTATTCGGGCTTGTAAACGTTTTAAAACATTTAAGTACTTTAAATTATGTTTTGAGTAATGTTTCAAAGTATATATGGGTTTCAAATAGAAAAACTAAAAGGTGGAATAAAACATTTTGGAAGAGTTTAGTAAAGCGTATAAAAATTAAAGGACTAAAAATCCCACTTCATTTTAAATGTGTAAAAATAAATCTCATTCATTCCTGGGAATCCAGTGATTTTCTCTTTTCTTTCTTTCTTCTTTCTTTTCTTTCTTTTTTTCTTTTTTTTTTTTNTTTTTTTTTTTTGGTTTTAGTTAGTTGGTACGTACTGCACCCTCCACAACACGTTAGAAAGTAGGTCCTGGTACACACTAAGGAATATCCAGCCAGGTAAATACATCAGGGTGATGAGGCCCATGAAATTGAGCGGGTAGTGAGAATAGTCCCAGGAACAAGCCCCGCACGTGCGAAGCCCCAGACCCCAGGACAGCTCCCACACATAGATAAAGATCACGTAGATGGGCACCCGCTTCCAAGTGCCCCAGCCGCGGCTGTAGTGGAGATGGAAGTAGAGCTTTTCCACCACGAAACTGCAGCTGCCGTACATAAGGAAGGACCAGAGCGACGTGTGGCCGCTGGTGGTCCCGTCCCCCTGCCCAAGTACGTTAAAGAAGAAGGTGAAGAAGATCTCATCCAGAAAGCCATGCATTCCGAAGAAAAGAAAGCGAAGTAGGTCGGGCAGCCCCTGGCTGGGGGCTCCCGCGGCGCCCCTGGGGCCACGGGGTCGTCGCCGCCGGGCTCCGGACGCGGTAGGGACCCGGGCGCCAGGAGGGGCGGGGAGCGCGCCCCTCCACTGCTGCTGCTGCTGCTGCCGCCTCTGCAGCCCGTACCGCAGGCGCAGGAAGCGCTTCAGGAACACTTGGCAGTGGTAGAGCGCCAGCACGTACTGCAGCGCCAGGTCCAGCGCCCCTGGAGCCGCCGCGCCCCCCGGCCCGCCGCCCAGGCTGAGCAGGAGCGCTTGGCCCGCTAGGGTCTGCAGCCCCACGTGGGCCGAGGGGTAGAGGAGGAAATTGAAGACGAAGGCGCTGGGACAGCGCCGCTGCTGCAGGTAGACCTTCTCCAGGGCGAAATGGGTGAGCGAGTGCAGCACGCAGCGGTAGGGCGAGGAGAAGCCTAGCATGCGCAGGTCCGGGCTGCGAGCGAAGCGCCGGGCCGAGGACACCAGCACGTCCAGGGTGATCCCGTGCATTCCGTAGAAGTAGAGGCGCATCCAGGCGGGCAGCGTGGCACTCTCGGCCGGCGCTTCAGCAGTGGACAGCGGCTCGGGGCAGTCGGCGGCCGCCTCGCTTCCTGGCCCGCCAGGGGCACCCGGACGCCGCGCCGCGCAGCCCCTCGGTGCGGGGCCCTCGCTGTCCACGTCGCTCCCCGCCATGGGCTCGGAGGCTGCCCGAACGCCCCAGGCTGCACCGCCGTCGCCGCCGGGTGCGCGGAGCTGCTGGGCCGAGCGGCTGAGCTCCGCGCCGCCTCCGGCCGCTCCCGGCCCCCGGGGGGGCGCGCAGGGAGCTCCGTCCCGGCCGCGGTCCCACAGTAGCCGAGGCTGGTGCGCTCAAGGGACGCGCGGGCCGCCCGGCTCGCGGAATACCCCCGCTGTGGCCCCGCAGCGCCCTCCCTTCCAGTCCCGGGCGAGGTGCCCCCCGCCGGCGCCCGCTCTCGCGTTCACCCTGCGCGGCCTAACGGGCACCGCGGCCCAGCAAGTGGAGGTGGCGCCGGGGCTGCGAGGGGAAATGCAGAAGCTGGTGCAAGCCCCATCCCCTCCGCGGCTCAGCCTCGCGCCTCCGCTGCAGGCTCTGGGAACGTAACGCGAGCAGCGGCGGCCCTGCCCCCGCCCTGCCAATGCCCCTCTCCGCCTGCCTCGACCTCTCCCGCCTTCGCAGGCCGCCTCCACGCGCCCGCCCGCCCAGCCCTCTGCACTGAATCCCTCAGGGTCTGCTCAGGAAGGCCCGGCCGAGCTTCTTCCCCCCCGTGCGCCCGCTCGGGCTCCAGCGGTGCTGGGGGCGCTTGCTGGGCGGAGGCACTGAGTGGAGAAACACCTAACAGGTGTGACTGCGAGCTGATGGGCATTCCCTGCGTCGTGGCAATCAGGGCCAGGGCCTGGCTGGCGGAGACGAATGGCTGAGTGCCACGGGCCGGAGGCTGGGCTCAAGACCAAAATATGGTGCTGTATACTTAATGTTCTTATTCAAAGCCAACTATGTCCCAGTCATAGAGAAAAAACGAGACTCCTTGCCTGCCCGCCCCTGCGTTACCCTCCATCTAAATTGCTGCCGCGGGGCCTGATCCACTTTTCCAATCTCTTTCTTGGCCCGTCTTCTTTCCTGGGTTTACTCAGGGCCAAGGACAGAGATTCGACGTCCCCCAGAATTTATAAAATGATTTCAGGCCAATTGGGTTGGGTTGGGGTGTGAAGAAGAGGAAATGCTTTGTTCTGGCTACTGTGAGGTCTCAGGTGGGTAATGGTACCTTGTCCTGGCGCACCTCGGTGATGGGTTCTTCTTTTGGCAGAACTAGGTCATCCCAGAAATGGAGAGTGACATAGAAGGCCAGGGTTTTTCTTTTTCTGTCCCTTCTCTCCTTCCCTTCCCCTTTCCCCTTTCTCCCCTCCCTCACTCCCTACTTTCTTCCTTCCTTCTTCCTTCCTTTCCTTCCTTGGTTGAGAGGATGGAAGGGATTCAGAATATTGGTGTGTTGGTTTCACCATTCTTTCCAATTTTGAATCAGTCTTGGAATTGGAAAGAGCCTCGGGGGTGAATTATTACCGATTACCTCCCTCTTTCTCCTCCTTCCCTCAAATTAATGTGCAGATAGGTAACAGTTCTCTGTTAGAGTTTAGATCCTCCCTTTGTGAAAGGCTTTCTGGGGATTTTTTTTTTTCCTTCTGGCGAATAGACATAATAAGGCCGATCCTCTATTTCTAAGGCAACCTCCTCCTCACGCTGTCTCCTTGCTTATTTCAACCCCTCACGTTCCAATCTGTGGTAGCTAAGTTGACTGAATTAGAAGAGAAATTTTCATGTCAGGGACAGGAATGTCAGGAAGTGGTTTCATCAAACCTGTGCAAAACAGGTTTGACCTAGTTGCCCAAGTGCCTGAGCGAATACAGTGAAGAGAAATAATGTAAACATTTTTGTGAGCACCTTGCCATGTATAAGATGCTATGCCCACACTGGGAAAATGAAGGGTTATAAGGTATTCTCTTTAAGAGGTGTGTAATCTAGTTAAAATGATCATCTATTATACCTGTATAAAGCCTACTTATGATTATTATGAATAATAAGTAATTATGATCATCCAGTAGTACATACTAGATGTTTGTACTGCTAGATGAATGTTTGAGTTTTTATTTCATTAAATAAACAATCCTGGGCCCAATTTATCACATATTAAAAACAAATGCACTCTTGCTCCATAATTGCTGTTTAGACAAGGGAAAGCACTTCATCCTAATAGCATAAATGTAGTCATTCAAACATGTGTGTGCTAACTTGCTATATTAAATTTGAATTGTTTTCAAATAGTAAATTAAACTTCAAGGGCCCAAGTCTTCCATTTATTCTAACTTTTCTTAAGGATGCAAGGAAAACATTGAAAGGTCTGATTTTGTAGTCCAGCCTAGAATTCATCCCAAGGAGTGTAGGAAAATCTTTTGGTTTTAAAAAAATAGAGCTATATTTTTAATTTCAGCATTTAAAAATGTATTTGGTATACCTTATATATTTTATAAATTACACAGTATAATAGAACATGTATAAAATTTATATGTGTATATGTATATGAATGAAACTTTTAAACTCCCTTCATCATTTCATTCCTTTGAGGAAAATGGGTTTTGGTTTCTATGACCTGCCTTAGGGAAGAGGGATTCTAGTTTCTTTGGCTAGCCTTAGTCTGAGAGACTGCAGGTAGAAGAATGTCAGAGAAAATCTTTTGTTTCTCAGGCTGCTTACGAGGCCTTCATTGTGGGGTCTTGTTTTCTGAATCCCCGCATTGCATTAGGTTGCAAAGGTACATCTGTAAACGCAGCAACTTTGGGAGTTGATGGATATAATAATGAAGGGAGTTTAAAAGTAAGAAACAGGAAACCACAGTGAAACAGCATCACTGAGATTCCTTAGGTCTGGGGCAGTCACTCAAAGAATACTTTGGGGCATTTTTCATCTGTGTCAAACACAGGCATCTTTGACCTCAGGGGTCAAGAAACTGTTTGGGAAACTATCTTTGTAATGGTGTAATAGTTCATGTGGCACAAACACTGACTGGTCAAGTTGGCTATAAACTGGTACAACCCCTGGAACCAGGGTCATCAGTGTGACTAAGGAGAAATTTGAAAATTAGTGCAAGGGTCCTTTGGAGGATCGTGGTCATTAATCTAATTCAATTAATGAATTGTTGCCTAGAGGCCATAGGTTCCAGGTTGCCTTTTAGATGTATGGCAAGCCTGAGACCTTTCATTGCACACAGAAAAACAGACAGCAAGTACATGGAGAACATAACATTAAGGAAAAAGCTAAAGGGAAGTTCAACTGGGTAATATGAATGTAATGATAGAGAAAACAGCAGTTATATTAGCAGTAGTAGATATACACACCTACAAACCTTTCTTTTCTTTTTCTTTCTTTCTTTCTTTTTTTTTTTTTTTTTTTTTTTTTTGTGACAGAGTCTCCCTCTGCCTCCCAGGCTGGAGTGCAGTAGCGCCATGTTGGCTCACTACAGCCTTGACCTCCCAAACTCAATTGATCCTTCTACCTCGCCCCGCAAGTAGCTGGGACTACAGGCATGTACCACATACCTGGCTACTTTTTTGTTTTTTGTTGAGACAGGGTTTCCCTATGTTGCCCAGGCTAGTCTAGAAATCCTGGACTCAAGTGATCCTCCCACTTTGGCATCCCAAAATACCTGGATTACAGACATAAGCCACTGTGCCCAGCCTAAACCTTTCTTATTAAGAATAAAATTATACACATATGCTTATCTCTTATATACTGTAATTATCAAACTAAGAAGGAAGACATCTATCCAAGAAGGCTTTCAGTCCTTTAATGTTTGCTACCTAAAAATATCACCTAAATAACTCGTTGATAGGGCAAAGCTAAGCTTGTGGCTTACCATGGTAAGGGAGCTCTCTACTTTGACAAACTTTTAATAACACCTCGGAGAGGGAGGGCGAAGTTGGGGCTATTTATGAGGGTTTTGGTTCCTGGTTTAAGATGAACTTTTCAATATGAGGGATTGATGAGAGTTGGGTAATGATTATGATGTATTGGTTTATAATTGGTGGATGCAGCAAGGACAGGGTTTTGAGGTGAGTGCTTCAAAAAGAGTGTTGAGAAAAAGTGGTAAACTTTTATCTCTCTTGGCCAAGGCTTCTTGCAATACTAGTACAGTTGTACTATTACAAGGATAATACTTCATGTACTATTACATGAAGCCCTGCCCCAGGGAAATAATGACATTGTAATAGTAAAGCCATGTTGAAGAAGATGGTCAGATTCTAAAGTAACATTCATGTAGACAATAAGCTGTGTGGCTGTAGGTGTTTGCACAATCTAATGTCGACACAAGTTTGAAACTCAGGAGAATAATTTGAGTAAGGACAGGTAAAGATAATAAAGAAGTAGGACTGGCACTTTGAGTTTACCTAAAATAATGCTCATCCCAGTATGTGTGGTAGAGGGGGTGTGAAGGGAGAGAGGTTTATTGACTGCAATAAAACCATACCTGCATACTAAAGTTATAAAACGTTTGTATGCCTATGCTTATAGTTTCATTTATTTTTCTGACATCTTCTTTTTAAATTTCATTTGTTGTATGCTAAAGTTTCAAATTAAAGAACTCCTATATGTTGTTTAAACATCAGTGAGGGTGAATAGGCTGTCAGGAGGAGACTACTAGTGCTAGTGGCAAAATGCAGGAAGATCATATAGGAGCATGTGACCTTTTTGGATACAACACTGTTAGGGGATCATCTTGGAAATCTGCCCCATTGTTCCTGTTGTATATCTTTACAAAGCTCTTCTTTATACTATACTCCTTTTATTCCTTCTGATAATTTAGTTAATGGGGAGGCATGTTGACATCAGGAGTTTTCTTCCTTTTCCTTTTGTAGCTCTTCCTCATGGCTTTTTGTGCTCTTTTACATTATTAATTTTTAACTTTGGGCCTTCTCTTCTGTTTCTCTTCTGGTCCTGAAATTTCTTGGAGCGCCTACTTTTCATTAGGAATCATTACTTCCACTGAGGATTATTTCTGAGATTTCATGGAGAGGGGCTTTTAGGGAACAGATATTGAATATATTATTTTAATTCATAGAGATGAAGAAAATAAAAGGTAATGAGTTGCTTTGGAAGAATTTGCTTAAAAAGTAAAATTTCACCTTGAGCAAGATTCAGATCAGGAGCACTCCCTTTGTATAATTTCTGCCTGCCTGCCAGTGCCTTATCCTGAGTTGTCCAGGGAGATTATTTTCCCCATCCCAGTCAATTCCATTATGTTTCCAAAGGAAGTAGTTTGTTTGGAATAATAATGCTCCC